CAACGAGTAAGCTCAAAATAGTTTTCTCTCACATTCCAGTTCTCACAGCATCAAATAATTCCAGAGTACCTGCCAGTTAGCCACAATTCCTGTTTATAGTTTGGTCGAGGGAATACAGACGTTAAAGAAATAGACATGATGAAAGTTACTAAAGGGAAAGCACAGGGTGCGATGAGAGACAGTGTATGATAAGCACTGGCATCCTTCCATCTTTAGGCCTCCCTTACTGTCAACTTCACAGGGCAGCAAAGAGTTTCCCACTGAGGACCTATCCAGTATATTTTTAAAGATATATTTTATAGACCTATATTACTGAACATTTGGAAAATAGAGAATAAAGCTACCCATAGTCCTCTACTCGAGCCACACCCTACAAAATCCCTCTCAAGTTTGTTTGTTTGTTTGTTTTTGTTTTTTTTGCTGTACACGGGCCTCTCACCGTTGTGGCCTCTCCCGTTGCGGAGCGCAGGCTCAGCGGCCACGGCTCACGGGCCCAGCCGCTCCACGGCATGTGGGATTTTCCCGGACCGGGGCACGAACCCGTGTCCCCTTCATCGGCAGGCGGACTCTCAACAACTGTGCCACCAGGGAAACCCCCCTCTCAAGTTTTTATTGTGTAATCTGTAATAGCTATCATTTGTTGTACACTATGTGCAATGCACTGTGCTAATCTTCTATACAGGATCTTATTTCATCCTCGCAACAATCCTATAATGTAGACATTTTATCTCCATTTTATATATCAGGAAACTGAGGCTCAGAGGTTACCTAGCTAGTAATGAGATTCAAAACAAGTCTGAATCACAAACCAAATCCAACAACACATGGAAAGGATCATACCCCCAATCAAGCTGGATTCATCCCAGGGTCACAGGGATGGTTCAGTATACACAAATCAATCAATGAGTTACAGCACATCAACAAAAGAAAATACAAAAACCACATGATCATCTCAATAGATGCAGAAAAAGCATTTGATAAAAATTCAACATCCATTCATGATTAAAAACTCACCAAATTTGGTATAGAGGGAACAAATCTCAGTATAATAAAAGCTATTTATGACAAACTCACAGCCAACAAAATACTCAACAGTGAAAAGCTGAAAGCCTTCCTGCTAAATTCTGGGACAAGACAAGGATGCCTACTCTCACCACTTCTTTTATTCAACATAGTATTGGAAATCCTAGGCACAGCAAACCGAGAAGAAAAAGAAATAAAAGGCATCCAATAGAAAGAAAGGTAAAATTGTCATTATATGCAGATGACATGATACTCTATACAGAAAACCCTAAAGATTCCACACAAAACTATTAGAAATGATAAATGAATTCAGCAAGGTAGCAGGATACAAGATTAACATACAGAAATCTTTTGCATTTCTTTACACTAACAAATATCGAAAGAAAAAGTAAAAAAAAAAAATTGCTTTTTAAAATCACCAGATACTATAAAACTCCTAAAGGAAGGCATAGGCAGAATGCTCTTTGATGTAAATGGCAGCAATAGTTTTTTGGATCTGTCTCCTAGAGTAATGGAAATAAATGAGACTTAATTAAGCTTAAAAGCTTTTGCACAGCAAAGGAAACCACAAACAAACCACAAAGAAAACCTACAGAATGGGAGAAAATATTTGCAAATGATGTTACCGACAAGGGATTAATTTCCAGATTACACAAACAGCTCATACAGCTCAATATCAAAAATACAATTCAATCAAAAAATGGGCAAAAGACCTAAATAGACATTTCTCCAAAGAAGACATACAGATGGCCATCAAACACATGAAAGAATGCTCAACATCATTAATCATTAGAGAAATGCCAATCAAAACTACAATGAGATATCATCTCACACCAGTCAGAATGGCCATCATCAAAAAATCTAGAAACAATAAATGCTGGAGAGGGTATGGAGAAAAGGGAACACTCTTGCACTGTGGCTGGGAATGTGAATTGGTACAGCCACTATGGAGAACAGTATGGAGGTTCCTTAAAAAACTACAAATAGAACTACCATATGACCCAGCAATCCCACTACTGGGCATATACCCTGAGAAAACCAAAATTCAAAAAGAGTCATGTACCAAAATGTTCATTGCAGCTCTATTTACAATAGCCCAGAGATGGAAACAACCTAAGTGTCCATCATTGGATGAATGGATAAAGAAGATGTGGCACATATATACAATGGAATATTACTCAGCCATAAAAAGAAACGAAATTGAGCTATTTGTAATGAGGTGGATAGACCTAGAGTCTGTCATACAGAGTGAAGTAAGTCAGAAAGAGACAAATACCGTATGCTAACACATATATATGGAATTTAAGAAAAAAAAATGTCATGAAGAACCTAGGGGTAAGACAGGAATAAAGACACAGACCTACTGGAGAACGGACTTGAGGATATGGGGAGGGGGAAGGGTGAGCTGTGACAGGGCGGAAGAGAGGCGTGGACATATATACACTAACAAACGTAAGGTAGATAGCTAGTGGGAAGCAGCACGCATGGCACAGGGATATTGGCTCTGTGCTTTGTGACCGCCTGGAGGGGTGGGATAGGGAGGGTGGGGGGAGGGAGACGCAAGAGGGAAGAGATATGGGAACATATGTATATGTATAACTGAATCACTTTGTTATAAAGCAGAAACCAACACACCATTGTAAAGCAATTATACCCCAAAAAAGATGTTAAAAAAAAAAAAAACTACAATGAGGTATTCACTCATGATGCTCAGAATGGCCATCATCAAAAATTCTGCTAAAGAGGGTGTAAAGGAAAGAGAACCCTCCTGCACTGTTGGTGGGAGTGTAAATTGGTGCAGTCTATGGAGAACAGTATGGAGGTTCCTTAAAAAGCTAAAAATAGACTTACTATATGATCATGCAATCCCACTCCTGGGCATATATCTGGAGAAAAAAGATAATACATGCACCATGTTCATAGCAGCACTATTTACAATAGCCAAGACATGGTAGCAACCTATATATCCATCAACGGATGAATGGATAAAGAAGATGTGGTATACATATACAATGAAATACTACTCAGCCATAAAATAGAATGAAATAATGCCATTTGCAGCAACATGGATGAACCTAGAGATTATTATACTAAGTGAAGTAAGTCAGAGAAAGACAAATATATGATATCACTTATAAGTGGAATCTTTAAAAATGATACAAGTGAACTTACTTACAAAACAGAAATAGACTCAGACAGAAAACAAATATATGGTTACCAAAGGGGAAAGTGGGGGGAGGGAAAAATTAGGAGTTTGAGATGAATAGATACTACTATTCATAAAATAAACAATAAGGACTCACCGTATAGTACAGAGAAGTATATTCAATACCTTGTAATCTACACTGGAAAAGAATCTGAAAAAGTATATATATATTCTGAATATATATATAATATAAAATATATAGAATCACTTTTCTGTACACCTGAAACTAACATAACTTTTATTTTTTAATATTTATTTATTTATTTATGGCTGCGTTGGGCCTTCGCTGCTGCACGCGGTCTTTTTCTAGTTGCGGCGAGTGGGGGCTACTCTTTGTTGCAGTGCGCAGGCTTCTCACTGTGGTGGCTTGTCTCTGTTGCAGAGCACAGGCTCTAGGCATGTGGGCTCAGTAGTTGTGGCACACTGGCTTAGTTGCTCTGCGGCATGTGGGATCTTCCCACAACAGGGATCGAACCCATGTTCCCTGCATTGTTAGGCAGATTCTTAATCACTGCGCCACCAGGGAAGTCCCTAACACAACTTTTAAATCAACTATACTTCAATTTAAAAAAGAAGTCTGGGGTGGGATAGGGAGGGTGGGATAGGGAGGGAGATGCAAGAGGGAAGAGATATGGGGACATATGTATATGCATAACTGATTCACTTTGTTATAAAGCAGAAACTGACACACCATTGTAAAGCAATTATACTCTAATAAAGTATAAATTTTTTTAAGTTAAAAATTTTTTTTAAAAGTCACTGAACAATGGTTTTATGTACTGCATAAATCCGATATACTCTTTCCACTTAATATTACACATATTACTTTAAATAACGTTCTGCATATCTTTGTGTTATTTTGATCACATTTTGGATCATATTTTTATGATAGGCCTTGAATAATGAAGGGTGAAGGGTGAGTAAGACTCCTGATGTAAACTGATAAAACTCACTCTCCTATGGGCTGCACTGTTTTAAAATATGGACAATTTAATTTTGAAATAGGGACGGTTTCAACTCCTCGTTTGCAGTATAGGTGATCATTATAAAACCTCTATATTAGGCAAGAAAGCACCTCAATTTTAATTTCCACGTTTTCGGAATTCCTTCGTTCATTTACAGGTTCTATTTCCTTTCTAACTCATCTAGAAAAGTTTTAAACTGATGTCAGCCGTGACAATTTAGAGTTTGAAAAAGGCCTCAGAAACCTTCCAGTCTAGCTTCCTCACTTACGAGGCTGAGGAAACAGGTCCAAGACAATTAAGTGGAGGGCTGCACGTAACTTCCACGGGGAAGTCAAGGGCGCTGTATCTACTCCTTTACTAGAGCCAACCTAGGGTCCGAACAGGTGTTAGAAACAGCAGTAATACATTACAACCAAGACAGACCTATCTCTGAAATATTCAGATCATTTTGATGTTTATTTTTGTTGCAAAATCCTGAATGGGAGGCCTAGACATTTTCATTAATAAGTAGACCAAGTTGAGGGGCGGAGCAAGGCTCTTCTCCAGCCTACATTAACAGAGAGAATAAAACCCCAGGTCGTACTGCCCCACCGTTTGGAAACAGGGGTGAGCGACCTCCTAAGAGGCTGCGGCTGGGATACCAGGTTCCCGCTATGTCTGCAGCCGGGCGGGACGGGGCGGGGCTGGGAGCCGGGGGGCGCAGACGGGGTGCAGTGCGCAGGCGCGCACCTGTGAGGCGCAGGGGCGCCGGGCGCCCGGCCGCTCCCACCTCGCTTGTCTCTCTACCCGCAGGCCCCGCCTCGCCGCCTCCCCTCAGTCGCCCCGTGGCTCGGCCGGCGGGCGGCGTGTTGCTGCGTCATCGCCAGTGGCCGGTTTGAATGAGGCTCTTGTCGCACAGTGTCTGCCGCCACTACCGCGCCTCCGCCTCGGCCGCCGCCACAGCTTCTTCGCGGCCCTTTCCTTTCGCCGCTCTTGCCAGGCCCAGCCTTCCTGCGCCGCCGCCGCCTCCTAGCGCGCCCTGCCATGCCTCTCTACTCCGGTGAGCGCCCTCCTCATCTCGTGCTCCGCAGTCCCGCCCGGGGCTAGGCCTCTGTGTAGGCCTGGCCTGCAGGGCGGGTGCCCCGCTGAGCACGGGGCGGGGATTCCGCGGCGTGGAGGGGACCCGGGCCCCTTTCTCTCTCCCTGCGAGTTCCGAGCCGTGCTCCTCCTGGGCCGCCGGGTGGGTGGGGTGGGAGCCGAAGGGGTGGTGGGGAAGCAGCGAGCGTCCGCCCCTCCGAGTGGTGACTCTGCAGAATAGTTCTGTCTCTGTCCTCACGTGCGGGGTAGGGTGAGGTTGTGTCCCGGGGCAGCAGGGACCAGGCTGGAGGTGCAGTGGCATTTCCTGAACCTCTTCAGTGGTAGCCGTAGCCGTGGAAGGGAGCGGCCAGGAGGGGAAGCCTCGGTAAGGGAGTGATGGAGGGACCAGAGATGTGAGGTTAAGCCTTCCTTCCTTCCTCGTTCTGGGGGTTTTCCTCTATAGCCTCCCTTCGCTTACCCCTTGCTAACACCACCCCGTTTGTACCAATTTCATTTTTATCCCGAGGCAGATTGCGAGCTTTTTGCTTCATTTTCATTTCGTCAAACACTGTTTTGTGTTTCTATGTCCGAAGCACAGTGTTAGCTTTGAGAGGTAAAGGAATACAAATGGTCGCGGGTATCATTTCCTTTTGATTGGCGTTTGACAGGGTTTTTTTGCGTGATGGCAGTCCAAGGTGTTGGCCAAGGATCATGTTTTTACTGAGTTAATGGACCTTGCTGTCTCCTAGTGTAATTCAAAATGGCCCCTAAAGTGTATGTGGTGGCTCCAGTTGGCTATGGATGTGTGATTCATTGGCCATCCTTGACACTCTATCATAATTCCTTTATTGAAGATTCAGCGTTTTCAAAGAATGACATCAAACAAAAGAATAATGTTTAAACTCGACATGGATTCTTAATGTTCTAGAATCTTGAATGCTTTAATAATGATTTTTTGTTTTTTTTTTGGGTGAAGTATAAAAGAATAGCTTTATTGCTTTGCCAGGCAAAGGGGGCCACAGCAGGCTAGTGCCCTCAAAACTGTGTGTCCCCAAATGCTTTAATAATGATTGCTCAACCTCTTTTTCTGAGGCCACAACAATGGAACAGTAGAATGGTACTTGAAATATTGTTTATGCAATATAGATTTTAAGTGGCATTAATTAAGTAATGGCGGTAAATAGCTGTGTATGCTAATACTTAAACACACACAGGTAGTTTGTTCCCCTCAAAAAATGCCTGTACTCACCAAACTTTCTATCTTAGAAATTGAGTTCCATCTTAAATATTTAATCAGATCTTTTCCTCATTTCCAAAATGAGGGAATTGAAGTAGATTTCTAAGGCTTCTTCCTTTGACATCTCCATATTGAGAATCTGTATTTTCAGATTCTGCAAAAAGCCCTGTATTAAAACAAGAACATCTTAAGTACTGTCATAAGTTTTGATAGAAAATTAAACGTCCAGATACTTACGTGTTTAAGAAGAAGTGCTGTAAAAATTAGCGAACACTTTTTTGTCTGGTACGAAGCTAATTTTTTTTTTTTTTTGCGGTACGCGGGCCTCTCACTGTTGTGGCCTCTCCCGTTGCGGAGCACAGGCTCCGGACGCACAGGCTCAGCCACTCCGCGGCATGTGGGATCTTCCCGGACCGGGGCACGAACCCATGTCCCCTGCATCGGCAGGCGGACTCTCAACCACTGCACCACCAGGGAAGCCCAAAGCTAATGTTTTTTATACATGTTGCTTTGTTTTAATTTTCAACGTAGTCCCATGGTACTAGTATAATTCTCCTTTATGGCAGTGGTCCTCAACCTTTTTGGCACCAGAGACCAGTCGTGGAAGACAGTTTTTCCACAGTCCCGGGGAGGGGTTGGGGGGAAATGGTTTCGGGATGATTCAAGCACGTTACGTTTATTGTGCACTTTATTTCTATTATTACTACATTGTAATATATAATGAAATAATTATACAACTCTCCATAATGCAGAATCAGTGGGAGCCCTGAGCTTGTTTTCACTTCCCACTCACTGATAGGGTTTTGATATGAGTCTGCAAGCAATTAATTTATTATGATCTCTGTGCAGTCAGATCTGTCTGCTAATGATAATCTGTATTTGCAGCCGCTCCCCAGCGCTAGCATCACTGCCTCAGCTCCACCTCAGATCATCAGGCATTAGATTCTCATAAGGAGCGTGCAACCTAGACCCCTTGCATGCGCAGTTCGCTGTAGGGTTTGTGCTCCTATGAGAATCTAATGCTGCCGCTGATCTGACGGGAGGTGGAGCTCAGGCGGTAACGCAAGTCGTGGGGAGCGGCTGTAAATACAGATGAAGCTTCTTTCCCTCGCCTGCTGCTCACCTCCTGCTGTGCGGCCGGGTTCCTAACAGGCCATGATGTGGTATGATCCGTGGCCCTGGGGTTGGGAACCCCTGGTTTATGGGTAAGCAAAAAGTTTAACTTGCCCATGGTGACACAGCTAAATAAATTTCAGATAGAGTTGTCTTCATTATTTCTAATACTGTTTTGATTTAGTCCTCTCTCTGTTGTTTGTACTATTGTTATATGTTTCTGGTTTGTCTCAATGATTGTAGTCGTTCCCCCTTAAAACCAGTATTTTCTCTGCTGCTGCTAGAGTGTTCTAATGTTCAAACCAGACCAAAGTGGCCTTTATGAAAACCTTTCAGGGGCTGCACATTTTGTACAACCTAAAGCCTGTATGTTTTAACATGACTTATGTTATCTTCCCTGACTTGATCTTTAGTCAGTTTCTCCTTTTTCAGCTGCTTCCCCTTCACTCTGGGAATTACTTGTATCTCAGAGGACACCATGCTGCTTTATGCTTTTGAGTGTCTTTTCCAGGAATGCTTTTATTCTTATTCTCTGGCTAACACCTGAGTTTTTCTTTGAGACTCAAAGTTGATAGTGGTAACTCACAGTTAACACTTTCTCCAGAGAATCCTTCCTCCCTCATGAAGCATTCCACTGTGCTCCTCTAGCATTTGTAATATTTATATTGTATTGTTAATTATTTTAACCTTTTTCCCTCTCTCCTTTATTAAACTGAGTTCACAGAGAGTCTCCCTAATCCTTGTTACTGGGCTTATCATTGAATGAACGCTAACACGTTAATTGAACTAGTGAAAGAATAGGGATTTGGAGTCAGGGTCACTTTTTTATATTCTGATTTTAGTAATCAGAGAAATTAGACAACTGTTAATTATGGGATTCTCATTTAATTATGAGAATTCTCATTCTCATTCTCATTTTGAGTAGGTATAAAGTTTTCAGTGGAAAAAACTATGTACATCCTTGAGTTTGTTTGTTGTTTGTTTGTTTGTTTTTGGCTGTGCTGTATGGCTTGTGGGATCTTAGTTCCCTGACCAGGGATTGAAACCGGGCTCTGGGCAGTGAAAGCATGGAGTCCTAACCACTGGACCGCCACGGAATTCCCTAGTTTGTTTATGTTAACATATTTCAAAAGTTAACTATTTTATGAGATTGAAATTTTTTTATTGTGGTAAAATATATGTAACATAAAGTGTAGTTTTAAACAGTTTTAAGTGCACAGTTTTTAACATTGAGTACATTCACATCGCTGTGCAGCCGTCATCACCACCTACCTCTAGAAGTTCTTCCCGTTCCTAAAATGAAACTCTGTACCCCTGTTTCCATTTCCCCCAGCCTCCAGGCAACCCCTATTCTTCTTTCTGTCTCTAGGAATTTGACCACTCTAGGTACCTCTCATAAGTAGAATCATACAGTATTTGTCCTTTTGTGACTGGCTTGTGTCACTTAGCATAATGTCTCCAAGGTTCATCCATGTGGTAGAATGTGTCAGAATTTCATTATTTTTTTAAGGCTGATTAATGTCCATTTTATGTCTATACCACTGTTGATGGGCACTTGGGTTGCTCCCATTTCTAGGCTATTGTGAAATAATGCTGCTAGGAACATGGGTATACAAATATCAGTTTGATTCCCTGGTTGCCATACTTTTGGGTATATACCTAGAAATGGAATTGCTGGATCACATAGTAGTAATTCTATGCCTGATTTTTGAGGAACCACCATACTTTCTGTCACAGTGGCTGTACTATTTTTATATTCCCAGAGCAATGCACAAGCGTTCCAGTTTCCCCACATCCTTGCCAACACTTGTTATTTTCTATGGTTTTGTTGTAGCCATCTGAATGGCTGTGAAGTAGGATTTTTATAATTTTTAATAATTTAGCTATATTTTTGGATTCTTCTTAATAGTTGACCACCTCTTGCTCAGGAGGCAGACCTTTCAGTTCTTCTACACCTTTCTTCCTATAATTCAGGGTCTATATTCCTTAACCTGTTTTCAGTGTGCTTTATTTTCCCAAGAATATTTTTTCTTCTCAAAATATTCTAGCCTTTCTTTCCCCTTTCTACTTCAGCAGTATGTAATATTCAACTGATTTTAATAATTGTTTAAATAAACACAGTCTGAAGTCTGTGAACTTTATTCTGGGAAGTGTTTCAGTGTGGTCATATTTTGCAGATATTATTGGAGTAGGATTCAGAAGCCCTGAATATTTACTGACTAGGTTTGTGACATTAATCAATCAGCTTCTTTTAAGTCTCAATTTCCTTATTTATCAAATGAGAAGTTGGGTTAGATCCAGTTAAATTTTATCCAAGATCTATTGCATTCACTTCACTCCTGATTTGGTAGGCCTTAGGTGTGTAAAAAGATTAATGACATAGTTTGGCTTTTAAGAACTAGCCTAATAGTTCCCTAAGGATCTTCTAAATCTTAAGTCTTGTTATTTTGTAAATTAAAAAAAAAAATTGTGGTTTGTTTGCAGTTACTGTGAAATGGGGAAAGGAGAAATTTGAAGGTGTAGAACTGAATACTGATGAACCTCCGATGGTGTTCAAGGCTCAGCTTTTTGCACTGACTGGAGTCCAGCCAGCCAGACAGAAGGTTATGGTGAAAGGAGGAACATTGAAGGTAAAATTTAGTCCAGATTTTCATTATGTACTAGTGAAAATAACTAGCACCAGAAAATGTAACATTTAAGGTATTTTTTATTTGGTGAGAGTATATAGTCTATAGTATTAAAACTCTTATTCATGTTAGTTTAAGGAAGGAACATTGTAGCCTTTTCAAAACACTATTATTAAGCATCATTAAAATTTTTATTTTAAAATGCATTTTATCAGTGATTATCTCTGGGGGTCAGGGGACTGGGGCACTTTCCATTTATCTGTGTTTGAATTTTTATTTATGAGTGTGTGTTAAAAGTATTTCATTTTGTATAGACTAAAAAAGTCTATTTGTATTTCCTTAGTAATTTTCAGTTATGGGGTTAGAAATTTTATCTCTGTTAAAAAATATGGAACAGTATGGTAAATTTATTTTTTAAAGGCTACTACACAGTGTGTTTTTTTTTATATACATGAGAATGTACCAAATTTACTAAGGCCCTGGTTCTGGAATACTGGAAAACTGTTAATTTTTCCTTTGGCCTTTCTTGCATCCTACCATTAAAAGGAGCCCCTTTCTCTTAGAAGTAATCACTACCTAACACCTGCCTGGAGATGGGAGAAAAGAAATTTTTGTTTAAAAGAGAGGGAATTTAGGGCTTCCCTGGTGGCGCAGTGATTGAGTGTCCGCCTGCTGATGCAGGGGACGTGGGTTCGTGCCCTGGTCCGGGAAGATCCCACATGCCACGGAGCGGCTGGGCCTGTGAGCCATGGCCGCTGAGCCTGAGCGTCT